TCTTCTTCTTCGCCGTGGTCTTCTTGCAGGTGAGTGGCGGCTTCTCCAACCTCAGGTCCACTATGGCGGACTACAGCCTTCGGCGGCCCCCTCTGCTATGGCGCATCAGGCCCTGCACACGACGACGCGCATGGAATAGCGGGTACCAGCTCCGATACCAATGCAATCAGACTCGTTCTCATTCACACTTTTCATGCATGTAAACAGCAGCACAGCAAACTGGCCACATGCGCCCACTCAAAACTCAGAGATATGGCTTCCAGATACGAGTTCACTTTCAACTGGCTATGGCGACTCAGTGCCGAAACAACTCACTGTTCACAAACACTGGATCACCCTGGATATCCCACACGCGTCACTCTGAACACTCACACAACACACACACACTACTCGCTAACTACAGCTATGGCTGCCTCTACCCTATCGCTAAGCTAAGCTCCTTCTCTCTCGCCCACTGCGTCCTCCGGGCTCACTGCAGACCTCCTTGCACAAGTCGCTGTGACAGCGCTTCCGCATGGCTCACGCAGGAATGAATGAATGGCTGGGCGCCGCCTCTTGATTTATACTTCTGCAGGTCGTTGGTCTGGGCCATTTCCCTTGCCCGAAGTGCACACAGTCCCGTGCGGTACTTGCTGGACTGACTGGGGACTGGGACTGTTGACTCAGCAGGGTAGACTTCTACCACTTGCCCACTTGCCTCACCACTTGACCACTTGCCTCTGCTTAAACGTGGGCAACTTCAAAAGGCCACTACTGGGACCTTCCGGAAGGCCGTAGACTTGGCCTTTCGTGACTGTAGCAGCTACGATTCTGACTCTTCTGGACTGTAGCAGCTACGACCTTGACCTTTCGAGAAAGCTACAGCTACAGTGTCTAGACCTGACTAAGACTCCTATCCGACAGGTCTACAGATCGAACCCATGCTACCTATGAACCCTACGACAACCTATCAGCTGTTACAAATACACAGGTCCCGGGTTTGACTCTATGGGCCGACACAGGGTACTGTACACAGGTGAGGTTGGGGTCTAGGGATCGAACCCTGGGTACTGCATCTGCTACTGCTAAAAGGTGAAAACCGTTTCATTGCTGTTGTTCATGCTAGATAGTGCTTGGTGCAGTTCCTCTATTGTGATGGTTTTGTCTAGCGCTTCCGCCTGTTCTGGTGTTATCGTTGTTCCAGATACTGGAGCATTCTTTGTCTAGCCTCCCTTATGTTGGACGTTATTGGCATAGGAGTCTTTGATTGGTAGAGGTTTTTATAAAAATCATTTGCTATTTCTAACATTCCTTCGCTATCTGATCTTATGACGTCTGGGTCTGTGGTAGACTTCAGCCTTTCTATTGCCCCTCTTTGCTTTTTTTTTTATAACTAAAACAATATTGGAAAAAACTTCAAAAAAGAGAGTTGCTTGAACAAATGCCTTTAGTTGTGGGCCAATGGAGCCCCAATCACTGGACAAATTCTGGATTCTGTGAGGCAATCCTTCGTCTTTCTCCATCCGGGATCGAGCGAGATAGATTTCTGCAGTCTTGTATTCACAAGGAAAAAACATAACCCGAATGACTCACCATGGCAGATGCCGCATTTGATGCATCAATATTTGGCTCCATCCTGCAACACAGTTTTTGCATTAACGTAGTTAATGAAAGGAGTCAAAGGACTAAGATTCATCCTTTCTGCATGCACTTACATGCAAACTGCAAGACGACTTGTAGAAAGTTGCACTGGTATACAAGTTGCATATTTGTTTTCATAGTGGGGAAACACACTGGTGGCTTAAAACGTCATATTCTGGCTGTATTGGTTAAGAGGCTTGGATCTTCTGGTCAAGGGTGCGGGTTCTTTTCCATGCATGTACGAATGGGGATGAAGCCAGAAAGTATGGATCCACAACTCCTTGTGATGCAGAAAACCAATGCAAGTAATGAGTTTGTCATGGGAGAGCTGGTAACGCTGGTAACACCAATAAATTTGAATAAAACATTTTTCTTTATGCCATGAGGTGATGCATGACACACAGCAGAACATCCAAATCCTAGAAACAATGTGAAAGATAGTATGGCAGGAACAGTATTGATGAGTGGAGGCGAGAAGCTCAATTTTCTTTATCAAGTGACTCCCGTGTCAGTGTGCACTCATTTGGTGTGCTCTCGGCTTTGTATTTCTGGTTTCGACTTTGCCCATATATGCTTGTTCTGCTTTAAATCTTTTTTTCTTTTTGATGCTCGGAAAATTTGTGCTCCCATTGATTGGTTCATTGCAGTTTGGTATCAGAGAGTGGTGTCCTGACCAACGGATCTTGAAGTTGGTGAGTCAGAGCTGATTGTGCCAGAGATGCTGTGCGCAGTGTTGTTGACGTCCTCACCAGCTGGTGAGTGATTTCCTGCGCGAGGTACACAGCGCAGGGGTGGAAAAGTACGGGATATGTGGCCCCGTGAAATGTTGGTGGTTTCTGATGAAACGGTACTCACCTTCTAGCAGTAGCGAATGCAAATCCCAGGGCTCGATCCCTAGACTTTACCTTACCTGTGTACATTACCTGTGTCGACCCCGAGAGTTGAACCCGTGACCTGTGTAATCGTAACAGTTGGTAGGTTGTCGTAGGGTCTGTAGGTTGTAGGGGTTCGATCTGTAGACCTGTCAAGCAGAGATCTTAGCAAGTTCTAGAAGTTGTAGCTGCTACAGTCCCGAAAGGCCAAGTCGTAGCTGCTACAGCCCTGAAAGGCCAGGTCGTAGCTGCTACAGTCCTGAAAGGCCAAGTCGTAGCTGCTACAGTCCTGAAAGGCCAAGTCGTAGCTGCTACAGTCC